CTTTTCAAAATAAACACTGAGAAAAAAGACGCCTTTTCAAAATAAACACTGAGAAAAAGACGCCTTTTCAAAAAAAAAACTCTGAAATGTATTTACTACTACTACTAATAATTATACTAATAATTCTAATTCTGCATAGGAGTGATGATGGCAGAACAAAAGCTACTTTGCTTACTATTAAAACACAAACAGACGAACAGACAGAATGCAGGCAGAAACCTTCGTTAGTAAACGTTAGCGTGTATGTGACGGCCTGTCTCTGCTGAGAGGAGCCTGCAGACAAAGATGAAGGTTTGATGATGATACTTCCTGATCGCTCGGAGGTTCGTGGCGCCACGTTTCTGTGGTGAAGTGTTTGTGATGGAGCAGGAAGAGATGGAGGCAGCGCCTAAGTGTGCAGCTACTCTTGTAATCCACATTAGTGACACCAAACCTTTGGCCTCGGGCGTCCTGCCGAGTCTGCGCTCACATCTAATGCACTACTGCAGTGCATCTATGAGTGCACATGAGTGTGTCCGATGGAGGAAGAGGAGTGGGGGAGGGTCTTCATCATCTCGTCATGTGCAGGAAACATCCTGAGAAACTAAAACAATGCCAAAAATCAACTTTCATCGGGGTTACGAGCAGGGTTCATGTGTCTCCTTCTTCTCTCAGTTTATTTTAGTCCTCCAAGCTTCAGGATCTTTGTCTTGTAGTTCCTCCTGTGGCCACAGGTGGCGTTGTTTTGTTATGAGTGACAGCAAAAACAAGCAGCCATGACGTTTGTAGTTTTTTATGGACTTGTAATTTCACTGAAAATCTGAAAGATTTCTTATTTGTCCATGTTTTCTCTTTTGTAGTAGCTTTTCCCCGTTTTTGCTTCTCCCAGGTTGTCTTGTGCTAGCTTTAGCTTTGTGACCCTTTGAGGGCATGTGTAGTTGGAAAAGTCCCCTCCATGTAACTGTTTGTGCCTTTGAGGCATTTAAATCATTTTTGTTTTTTATTATTTTTAGAATTAATTGGCTTTTTAGGACCCTTTATGAGTTTTTACATTTTTTGCTTTTGTTTTTCCTTGTAAAGGTTGTTTTTGTTGGGGGGGTCATGTTGTTGTTGTTGTTTTTCTTCATTTCTTGCATCAATTTGATTCCTTTTTCATGTTTTTCTCCTTCTTGTTTCTGTTTTTGTTGGTTTTTTTTGTCAAATTTGTTCCATTATTTTTTGTTTTTTCTGTCCTTTTTTATTTTTTCACAGTTGTCTTTTTGCTTTTTCCTGCTTGCGTCTATCTGCTGTTCAGTAATCGCTCTCCGGGGTTTAGCTGATGTATGAGGGGACATTTTTAATTCTTTTTCTTTGCAGGTCGTGATTGCCTCTTGCAGGCATTAATCTGCATGTTTCTCATTAAATGCGATGCAGATGAAGGAGGCTCAGGTGTGCTGGGGCTGTAGGTGAGATCCTTCAGCTGCTTCCAGCTCGCTAACATTAACAGCATGTTTCCCATGATGCTGTCTGACAGTAGCAATTATCACAGTGCTCTCTGCACAGTGACAGCCCTCGCGCTCCCTCTCTCTCTTTCTTTGTTGAATGCTCACTCGCCCAGTGTGCAGCCAACCAGCTCTGAATAATGACAGGCGGGGGAGGGGCTCCCTCTCTCCCCCTCTCCTGCTCAGCGGCACAGTCCAGAGGACGGACGGACGCCCAGTTCTTCTTCCTGCGTTCATCTCTGCATCGCCTTCCCTCGTCTCTGTTTCTTCTTCTTTGTTGGGACGCTCTTCATCATCTCCTCCTCCTCCTTGTGCTCCTCCTCGGGGCTCCTGCTGTGGGACGGTGGCGTCCAACAGACGGACACACTGAAGGAAAGTTGTTTGCATCTCTTTGATTGGCTGATTGGCTCAAACGCAGCGGGTGGACTCAAACTTGACATCCCACTCATGAATTCTTTCCATCGTAACCATAGCGACTGGCATCCTTGGCGGCAGCGGCGGTCTCCTCATCATGCTTTGAGACTTTAGAACTCTTTGTATAATCATAAGGTTCGTTACCGCGGCAATCAGGATGCAGGTGTCCATAGCATGTAACATGGGAGGAGGTGGGGGCGGTGGAGGGGCCAGCGAGCACCAGCTGAAGGAGCGCAGGGCGGCGGCGAACACCAGCAGCGCCCCCATCTGCCAGGTAAAGGTCAGGGCCGAGCCTTCGGAGCGGAACACCCTGCTAGGCCACGCCCACATGAAGGAGGCCCTCGGGCGTTATAGCAACATGAAGTACAGGTGAGGCAGTGAGAGTGACACAAAGAGGTGGTCATGTGACCCGACAGGTGCAGAGCGTGACTCGGGTTCATGTTTCTGTGTGTGTGTTTGTACCCGGGGTCGTTCTGTCAGGACCAACAACAACGAGCACAGCAAACCGATCAGAGATATTGATCCGCCCCCTCCCTGGTATTGATTCTATATTGCTGATTGATGCGTTTGGTAGAGCCGATCAGGTGACATGGATGTAGTCTGAATACTGATTAGTCGGGTTAAATATTAATGGTCTGAAGCCAGATATTGATACGAGGGCGACTCGTCTCTCAGATATTGATGACTCAAAGCGAGGCTCAGAATTGATCCTGATTGAATATTGATGAATTCATCGTGGACTGTGGCCTGGACTCAGGCGTTAACATCAGTCACCATAAACACGAAGCACATGCAGTGAGCTGAGCAGACTCACGAGTACCTCAGACGTCTGTTTGACTGACTCTCAGATTATGACTCACATATGAAGATCTGAGCTTGTACTAGACCAAGAATAAAGTGGACGTGGACATAAATCTAACACCAGGACTTTATCACTGACATAAAAGTGTCCCATCTAATGATTTTGTCAGGATTTGCATTTGGACATGAAACTTTGGATGTTTGTTTGACATGAATATTGCTGACTATGATCCTCATGTTAGCATTGAAAGCTTGGTCTCAGGTACTAAAACCGATGACTTGGACTCTCCGTGTCTTTCTACCTGTTGATCCTGACGTCACGTACATCAATGACTTGATTTTGACTCAAGCACAAGTGACTCGGACTCTGCTGACACTAACCTGGGCCTTAATGTCTCAGACGTGTGCATGAACGTCTATGATTTGGACTCAATCAAACATATAATATCAATCACATTTGACTTATTATCGAGCACCTGGACTGTCACAGCCAGAGCAAGACTGACGGACTCGGACCGGAGCTCACACGTAGGCACAGAAATGGTTTACAAGACTTTATTACAATGAAGCACGTTATTGACATCCGGCTATGAAGGAGTATTGATGACAGTGTTGCTTGGTTTCATGTCTTGGGCTAAGACTACATTTTAAAACCAGTGGCTTGGATCTGGTATGGATCCTGTTGTCTCAAGATGAAAAACGACTTTACTTTAGAAACAAGCTTGAATTTTGCGTCTGCGGGAAATCAACGACAAAACTCAGGGCATAACTGGAAACTCCTTTTAGCCCCATATTCTTCCTCCCGAGAATGCGGCTAAACGCAGACTCGATGCAATGACTGGATGATTTGTGAGGTTAGAGCAATGGGTTAAAATGCACAATTCACTTGACTGTAATTGATTTTAGACTTGACCCAGACTTGGAAATAATGCCTTTGAACTGCACGATAAACTCTTACTGTCTGCTGACTTGTTTGAAGACAGTAGAACGAACTTGGACTCTAATATATATATATATCAATTATTATCTATCCAACCTGACTTGTACTTTAATGTAATCTATCTGATGTGCACATTGTAAACAGCTTCTGTCCAGTTATTTAGTCTCAGACTGCGTTTTTTAAACTGCTGACTTTAATCAGGACTTGGGTTGTAATTACTGTTGCTTGGATGTGTCCTTAACTTCAGGCTTTACTCCTGTAAAATAACTCAATGAAATACTTGAAGTGCAGTTTATAAAAACAGCTGATTTAACTTGGACTTTAATGTGAATTTGGATGTTTTCAGCTCAGACGGGTTCCTAGACTTAGCTTTAACTTGGACACTGACGTGAATATGTTTTATATTACTCATATTTTATATTATTCATATATTATATTACTCATATTTGAGTCATCATTGATGATTTCAGACTCGACTTTGAATGTTGATTGTTGAAACCTCTGTGCCAACACGAGCAGGTCCTGTTCAATGAGCTGGTGTAAGACTTGGTAACTTGCATGTGAACCTTGTTTTCTTGCCTCAGACTTAGAGGTAAATGTCATGGATTTGTACTTATTCCACTTGGACGTGAGCCTTTGTTTGATCTCGAACACAAGCGCCTCGGTCTTGGATGTGAATGATATTGCAGACTTGAATTACTCGAGTCAGTTTACGTGTCAGACTTTAATTGAGTCTCTTTCTGTTCGATCACTGAAGCGTGTCGCAGGTTTCCAGACTGAAGGTCATTTCATCAGAGCCAGACTTGAACAGAGGGGAGGTGGAGGTGTTTCTAAAGCGGCCGGATGATTTTTGGATGTTTGTGTCTGGCTGTGTTTGATGTGTGAAAACTGCAAACGTCAGTAAAAATACAGCTGATTGGTCAGCTGCTGCTGCTGTTGGGGGTATTTTTAGCACCGCCGTCTGAAGCTGCTGTTTGTGGTATTTTTTATCCTGACATGAAACATGCGCTCCCTCCCTCATGTATGTTCTGTACCATCTGCACAGCGTTAATCAGCCTCAGCACTGTGACCTCTGACCTCACACTCATGTTGATGAATGTACAGCGAGTTTGCTTAAATTAAAGGCACTGCTGTAATTACACTGTGCGATAAGTTGATTGGTTTCGACATAAAGCTTTAAACCACCCTGACTGATGACCACAGCTCCCATCATGCACTGCTGCTGACTCCACCATTGACTTTAAATCTTCCTGCTGTTGCTCCCTAACTGCAGCGGCAGCAGTCCTCGTTAGCCTGGCTGCAGACCTCAGTCTGGCCCTGAATGACCTCAGTGTGCTTTATTGCCACTGAGCACATTAACAAGGTGATGACCAATGAAATCTCGTGGAGGCTGTTGATGCTGCGTGTGGTTTATATTTGCAGTAAAATGACTCAAACCTTCACTGTATCAGCCTGACAAGAGCAACAAATCAATTAGACACTAACGCGATCCAATCATCGATAAAGCTACGACGGTGACCGTCTGCACACAAAGCTGATGTTGGTATTTAATGATGTACTCAGCAAGTGAAAGATCTCAAAATCCCTTTTGGGGTTGGATTCAGCATAAAGCTGCCTAATCAAACATGCGGAGCTACCTGCTGCCGTACCTGCTGATCCCGACTGTTCCTGACTGTTCTCGACTGTTACCGACTGTTCCTGACTGTTCCCGACTGTTTCTTACTGTTCCCGACTGTTTCTGACTGTTCCTAACTGTTCCTGACTGTTCCTGACTGCTCCTGACTTTTCCCGACTGTTCCTGACTGTTCCCGACTGTCCCGACTGTTCCCAACTGTTCCTGACTGTTCCTGACTGTTCCTGACTGTTCCTGACTGTCCCGACTGTTCCCAACTGTTCCTGACTGTTCCTGACTGTTCCCGACTGTTCCTGACTGTTCCCGACTGTTCCTGACTGTTCCCGACTGTTCTCGACTGTTCCTGACTGTTCCTGACTGTTCCTGACTGTTCCTGACTGTTCCCGACTGTTCCTGACTGTTCCCGACTGTTCCCAGCTGAAACTTGCATCTTTCTCTGTCCAGGACAATGATGCAGTCCATTTAACCCTTTAATGATCATACAGACCGGGTGGACTTAAATACATCGGAGCACGGCTGTTTGAACTTGGGAATGATGTCAAACCCGAGTTAGTGTGTTCCAGATAAAGCGAGGAAACACGGGACTTTTTAGGTATCACCAGCAATACATGATAACACTTATTTGTTTTGCACTTAAAAAACATCAGTCCAGAACATTCACAGAGTCCGATCAGTGCTTATTCACTGAGTCACAGGTATGTAACAGTAGAGGTACACCTTAAAGTTTTGGTACTGTTGACCTTTAGTGCCGCCACCTTGAATTGTTAACTTGGAGCTGTTCTGGCTTTCTTAGTTGGAAATGTGAGTTGATGGGACTTTCCAGACTCCATATCTGACTGGGAGCTCAACTTATTCTAGCCCAAAGTGGTTATGAGGAGTTACGGTAAACTGTAGGCAGAGCTGATTCTTCTGCCTGGACTCAGACGACCTTCAGAAGGCTTCATGCTCTACATCAAATATGCCCGTAAAGTTTGTCTTCTCTTCTTTCTGAAACCATTTAAATCTCTCTGGCACAAACTGAGTTACGGTCATTTAAAGAGTGCTTGTAAAATACTGAGGAGTCTCCATGAACTTATTTTGAACATTAATAAGCAATCACCAGCCATCTCACGTTTCCAGCCAGCAGGCCCATGAGGTCACTGCTGTGTCGATCCTCAGAGACTCACCTGTGGTCATCCCAGCTCCGCTATCTTACCGGTGATGATAGAAGTCTTTGTTCCTGCTAAGGTGGATTTCTGGTTCAAGTGTCTCTGTGCTGAGCTCTTTGAGGCTGCAGAGCAGAACAAGAACCGCTGCAACAAACTGAAGACCAAGAAAGTGGAATTTGAGTCCACGGGATGTGAAACTCAATGAAGAACAACAGCAGCAGCGATAAGAACAAATCGATTGTTAAACCATTAAAAATAAGCACTAAACTTGATCGAACCATCAATCAAACTGGAGCCATGAACACTGATCAGTGCAGTGAAGTATAAAAGAAATTAAACCTTCTACAGGTTTACGTATCAGGACACAATAAAAACACTCTGACCTAAACACAGCCTCAGATGAACACATGACACATTACACCATGTCATCATTTATTTAGCAAAAACTGAATCATGACTGTGTAATATGAATCTGGAGACACAAACTACAATGATGCGGATGGAAAACAGATCCATGTAGTTCAAAAACAAATCTATAAAACAGCATTTACGATGTTCTAATTGTGCCTTTAAATGATGCATAAATAAATGGATTTATTTGTTAATGTAACAGGAGGGTTAGTCTGGCTTCCTGCTGGCGTAATGATCCATCACTGGACCTGCTGATTTGGTTGTTTTGCAGGAATCTTGGGAAATCTGGGCTGAGAGTGTCCTGCTTAGGACTGGGTGAGAGCTGCAGCAGACACACACTGTAAGCACATTTCCATATATCCAGCACACACAGTCAGTGTTACTTTTTTCTGTCTTCACAGGAACATGGGTGACATTTGGTTCTCAGATCTCTGACGAGGTACGAAGTGTTGGTGTGTTTGTTTACCTACACAAATGTGGACCTGGCTACTGCCACTCACCAATGGAGGACCTGCAAACCAAAAGGGTTCAGTTAAACTTTTGCTGCCATTTAAAGTTCAGCGGTACTCTTCATATATCTATTATGAAACCTTGTCAGAGGTGAATTATATGCAACAATGAATTTATTCAATGATGAAGCGTCTGTGATTATTTTGGGAATATTTGAGTCGCGTCAGCATGTTTAAATGCTAAAAATAATATAGTTAAAGCAGCTGCTTCACATCCTTTCATGTCCATTTTTGGCTCCACTGAAGGCGACCGAGGCTCCGGAGACAGGAAATCAAAGTTCCTGCTTGGAAAGTTTTGAAGGAAAAATCAAAAAGCTGTTTGTCAGGTTTCGTTTTAGTTTGAAATTACATTAAAAAATAGATTTCAGTTATATTTCCAAAGAAACGAGGTCCTCAGTTGGTCAGTGCAGACAGACGGTCCACTGTTAGTAATGTAGGAATGTGTGTGTGCTAAATGCATGATCACATATTACATAACCACTTCTGGAGATCTGTGCTTGCATTAATGTGTGTGTGTGTGTGTGTGTGTGTGTAGATGGCAGAGAGCGTGATGACGGTGGCGTACGACAGCGGAGTGAATTTGTTCGACACAGCGGAGGTTTACGCCTCGGGGAGGTACAGTACCGACTGTCTGTCTGCTCGTCCGATCTCAGCTGGTTCCCGTCCACCTCGCTGCACCGCAGCCTCAATTAGTCCATAAGAAAGGATGTATAGACCGCCGCAGGGCGGCTGCATGGACACAGTGGAGGTCGCCGGGGGCCGTGCAAAAGGCAAGGTAAAAAAAAAAAAACCCCTCTGCTCTCAGAGACATGAAACATACATGTAAACAGCATCCCGGCCTCAGAGTCTATTCATAATAAACCCTCCAAGTTCTTCTCTCATAAGAGTTTCTTTGATTCAGCTCATACACAAAAGATGAATTATCTTAAAGTTAAATATCTTACATTTATAAGATTGTCTGAAATCTGGATGTAAATCTTTGATTGTTTCAGGGCGGAGACGACTCTGGGAAACATCCTGAAGAAGAAAGGATGGAGGTAAAGCAGCTGGTCGCTGTTAGCCTGTGAGAAACCAAGAAAAACAGGATGTAGACTGGAAATATGACCAGTTTCTGGAATCATTTCATTTATATCAACAATGTTTGGGATTGAGAGATTCTTTAAAACTGGTGAATTAATAATTTACCTAAAGAACTAAATCTGTGTTTATATGCTGGCGTTATTTTCTGTTTAGTCCTGTTTTTACATTTGTTAGTGTCTCTTAAATATTTTGATTTTATTTATTATGTATTCACTTCATCATTTTTCTGGGATATAAATTTTGTATTTAAATTTATTACAATTTGTTAGACTTTTTAGATTTTTTTAGGTTTGGAAATAATGTGTAATGAATGGAAATCATGTTTTTTTATCTCATTATTTAAACATTTCTTTCTTTCTTCATGATTTAAAAAAATACTATTAACACAATTTTTTACAATAAGAATTATTAAAAATGTTAATTTAATAATATTTACTTTAAATTGTAATTGTATCAACATATTTTTGGGATATTTTTTGTTTCTGTGATTTATTACATTTTTAAAAATAACTGTATTGATTTAAAACGAGATTTTAAGTTTATACTAATTTCAGGGATCTTTTGATCCATTTTTTTTTAGCTTATGCTTAATTTTAATCTTTATTTAAAATTTTGAATTCATATTGAATTTTTAGTGAGTGATTTTTCTAACACTAAATCTTTAACAGCAAAAATGAGAGAAGTGACTATATTATGATGTCAACATGTATATAAACATGTTTTTAAAGTAAACTGAGAGCAGTTTAGTGCTGGAACATAAATATGATATTTTATAACGTTGTGTCTGACACAGTGAAGCACAGAGCAGCTGCTACAGTAACCTTATTACATGTTAGCATAAAAACCAGCGTCCAGCTAATGTAAACACAAACGTTCAGCATGACTCACATTAATACACACACACACTGCTGTGTTTGCGAGGTCGCTGCGCTGGACCAAACTCCCAGCATAATAACGTGTTTTGTCTTGAAGACGTGTTGATGTGTGACTCAGCAGATTTTCCCTCCATCCGTCTCCTCCACCTCATTTTAATCTCCATCCTTTCCTCCCCTCCCTCCAACCGCGCTCCATCTCTCACACTGACTGATGGCGGTGCAACAGCAACACCACTGAAATAACTTGTGTATGTGTGTCTCCACCAGGAGGTCCAGCTATGTGGTGACCACGAAGCTCTACTGGGGCGGACAGTGAGTGATGCTTTCATATTACTATGATCACGAGTGCTGCACTGTTCTCAGATCAGCTCTGACTGCAGATACATCAGACTGAAGCTGTGTGAATGTTTCTGCACCATAGCTCAGTCAAATATAAGGACTAGCACAAAGACTGAAACCTGGAACAGCTGAAACTACGACACAGGAAACAAAGAGTTAGCCACTGACAACAGACTGTATATGAAAGATGGACGTCATGCTATATGATTGGTTTAGGTCAAGGCGGGGGCGGGATTATATCAGGAATCAGCTCTGAACTCTTTTCTCTAGGGGTGGAGGATGACTGATGGATGACCTGTGGTGAGAGTAGGGAGCAGGTGGAGGAGAGCCTGGAGAGGTGGAGGTATTCACAGGAATACGTGTGTGTGAATGAGAGGGAGACGGGTGGAGGAAGGTGCAGGAACAGGGGGAGTGAAGGTGGGGGAGTCTACCAGGGGTGAGGGCAAGAAGAAGGTGAAGATTAGAGACACGACAGGGTGGAGTAGGCGGAGATGAGTGTCAGAGCTCGTCTCCATCCACTGGAGTGTGACTGAAGGAAGCAGCAAGAGTGAAAGATTAACGAAATCACGTTAAAGTCACGTGACTGTGGCGTGTTTAATGTTTCAGTTCTTCTGTGAGGTCATCACCGTGACATC